TGACAAGGTAGAACAAAAGCGGTCCACGTCATTTTGAGCGTGTAAAAAGTTTGTAATTTTACAAATTACTGCGTGAAGAATAATTCATAAATCGTTAAGAAACAAAAAGACGTTGTAAATTTACAGATAATTTGTGCAACGAAATTACCCATAAATTGTTTGTAAATTTACGAACTAATTTTTTACAGTGTAGCGCTGCTTAGCAGACTGATTCCGAGAGTCGTTTCCGTCGCTCTGTCTCTCTCGCATCCATTCGGGGCGTCCATAAGTGCGAGAGAGACAGGGCGACGAAACCGAATCTCAGTCTGAAGCCTAAGCCAGCCGGCCGGCAGCGCCTTGAATGAGTGCAGTTCGGCCATTCAGCCTCGCCGAGGAGATCGCCGAGAGCGCCAGGCTGGAGTCTGATTCCGAAAGCCCTCTCCGTCGCTCTGTCTCTTTCGCACCGGTACGGGACGCCCCATGAGTGCGAGAGAGACAGAGCGACGGCAGTCCACTGCAGTCGGCGCGATGCTCGCTGAACCGTCGCGGGCCTCGTCACGATGGCGATGTGCATGGCTGCGTGCGGTTGGCGCGCCGAGGGGTGGCGGGGACCAGTGGCGGATCCAGGGACGGCTTTCGGGGGGAGGAGGACAAAGTAGCACTTTTTGACTTACAGTGGGAGGGACAGGGGTGCTGCAGGCGCATCACAGTGGGCCAGAGGACCTGTCAAGAGCTGCACAGTCGCTAAAATGGTCTCGAACCGAACGTGTGACCCCACCAATGGATTGCTTTCCGAAGGAGGAATCCATTGGTGGGGTCACACGCTCGGTTCGAGTCCCATTCAGCGACTCTGGAGCTCAAAACGCGTCTAGAGTTTTGGCCGCCGGCGCCGGTCGTCTGGCTCACTGTGCAGTGCACCTACTGCAGTCGGTGCGGCCGGTCCAGTGCGCGGACGGTGTCTTCAAGACGGCGGCGTCCGTTACTCGGCCCCTGACCGCGGCTCCGGCGTGGCTACGCCGCACAGTGGGCCAGAAGACCGGTGGAGGCGGCCAGAATCCCGGACGCGTTTTGGGCTCCAGAGTCGCTAAATGGGACTCGAACCGAACGTGTGACCCCACCAATGGATTGCTCTCCCAACGAGGAATCCATTGGTGGGGTCACACGATCGGTTCGAGTCCTGTTTAGCGACTCTAGAGCTCAAAACGCGTCTTAAGCTTTGGCCGCCGGCGCCGGCCTTCTGGCCCACTGTCCGCCGCCGCTGACCTCCGAACCTCCAGTTAGTTCCTTGCAGTGGCGCTACGCCGCGCGGGCAGTGCCGGGCTGTGCAGGCCCTCATGGGACTCGCACACCCGCCCGGCGCCCGGCGAAACGGCACCGAGGCAAAAGGAACGCGACGCCGCGACCCAGAGCCGGTCGGGTTGGGGAACACGCCCGCATGGCGGCGCGTGGCGGGAAGCGAACCGTGGGCCGCGGAGTCGTGGGTTCGAACACCGCCGCCGCCGCGCGGCGAAGGGTGTGTTGCTTTTTAAGGCACACTGGTGGAGAAACTGAAGTGTCGTACCGCCGTCAGTTTTCAAGCGTAGTCAAGCGTAGCAGGCTACCACTTAGGTACCAGGTATCTGGGTGAATTTCTTAGACTTAAGTGGACGCTAAAGTGGACAGCAGAGCCGCTTCAAGCGTCCTTACTTCAAGCTTGACTCATGCACGCAGTGCCGCTTTATTTTTCCCCAGTGCGCTGTCCTCGACCCGTGGCCCGCGTGGAGGGCCCACCCCCCCCCCCCCCCCCCCCCCCCCCGGCCCTCCACCGCGCCGCACGCACGCACCCCCCCCGCCGCGCGCACCCTTCCCACCCACCCTCGCACCTGCCGGCCGGCGGGTTAAAAATAAATTAGCGGTGGTGTCGCCGCCGCCGCGTCCCTCGCAGAGAAGTCCGGACGACGCGGAAAATCGACCGAGTCCTGACTAATGCAACGCGTCGCCGGAAACGCGTGGACGAGACTTGAACGCCAGGGGCGACCGAAAGGGTGGAGGGATGGTGCGTGGCAGACTGATTCCGAGAGACGTTTTCGTCGCTCTGTCTCTCTGGCACCGACACCGGACGCCGCATGAGTGCGAGAGAGACAGAGACACGAAAACGGACTCTCGGAATCAGTCTGCAGAACCGCGAAAGACGAGTTCGAAAAGCGCATCCCTGCGATGACGGGCGGGTACGCCAAGCAGACACCGCCAGGCCAGACAGAGAGAGAGACAGAGAGAAAGGCAGCGAGAAAATAAAAGGAGTCCTATGCACTTTGGCCAAGTCGAGGAAAAAGTTAGTCGGGGCCGACCATGGACAGAAACCAGTCCCGAGTCGTCCCGCCGCCGCGCTGCCGCCGCGCGAGAGCGTGGCCGCGACCAGCCCAGCCCAGCGCAGCGCGGCGCAGCAGAAATGTAGTTCGCAGACACTCACCTTGACAAAAAGGGGTCCTTTATCCATTCAGTGATCAGCGGCGTAAAAAATCCAAGGCGCTGCACAGTCTGGCTTGAGTCACAACAAACACACGCAAAGTCCTTCGGCGGGGTCTCCGCCGCTGCTGCACTATAAACACCACCAGCAGTCCTTCACTTTCCACCGCGGAAAATCCGTCGAGGGAAACACTCACTCTGCCTCTCACTCACTGCTTGCATTCACTGCACACTGTTAGGGTCCTACACTGTGACACCTGCCCGGCCGGGGCGCGGCGCGGCTGGCCAACGCCATGCAGTGCTGGGCCTGGCTCGGCCCCTCCACGACGCGACGCGACGCGCAGCGCGAACTCGCGGCAGGCACACTTGTCGGCACCGCGGAGCTGCGCACCGCCCTGGGTAGGTCCACTCGCTGGGCGTTAACGGTGCGTACTAACGGGACCACGGCGGCCCGGCCCCAGCGCGCCGCACTAGCGCCGCGGCCGCGGTGGCGAGCGGCGGAACCACGCAGTGCCCCTCACGGCGCGGTGCTCCCCTCCTGCTGCAGGTGGTCGCCGAGCCGCCGGGCCGCCCGCGCTCCGCGCTCCGCGCCCTGCAGACTGACTCCGAGAGTCGTCGCTCTGTCTCCCTCGCACTCCCGCTGCGCCCCGTACAGGTGCGAGAGAGACAGAGCGACCGAAACCGACTCACTGCCGGCTGCAAGGCTGCGTGCGGGGCGGTCCGGCGGCGCGCACGCAGCCCTGGAGAGAGCGACGAAGGTGGTGGCCGTCTTGTCTCGGCCCGCCAGTGCACCGACTCGCCGTGGCGCCACCTAGCGGCGCGGGGCGGCGGCGCGGAGAGACACCCTGCGCCGGAGATACCCCTCGCTCGCGGCGGAGGGAAGTCACGCGTCGGAGATACCCCGTGCTGACGGCAACCTCGCCCTCGCGTCGCCGCACAGTGGGCCAGGGCCAGGGGCCGGTGGAGGCGGCCAAAATTCTACACGCGTTTTGAGCCCCAGAGTCGCTAAACAGGACTCGAACCGAACATGTGACCCCACCAATGGATTCCTCATTCGGAGAGCAATCCATTGGTGGGGGTCACACGTTCGGTTCGAGTCTCGACTCTGGAGCTGGAGCTCAAAACACGTCGAGAGTTTTGGCCGCCTCCACCGGTCTTCTGGCCCACTGTGCGCCGAGTTGAAACGCTGGGACTTGGAACGGTTGGGCGAAGAGAGACAACGGGCGTGGCTGGAAAGTCAGAAGCTGCACTGTGACACTAAGTGTGGAGAACTTCAAACTTGAAATGAGGAAGAGTGGAATTTTCAGTCCCACAGTTCAACACAGGTTTGAGACACACCCATCACCCAGTCCAGCAGCTTGTCATTCCTCGTCAAGCTTCAGTGAAATCAAAGCGAGAAAAGCAGTGGACAGGCAGAATCATTGAGAAAATGGAGGTTCTAAAGCTGCTCCATTAAAGTACACTCTAGAAGGATCATGAGATGTCTCATCCCTAAACTATATAGGATATTAGATGTGTAGGTAACCTTGCACCCCCTTATAAAAAATTAAATACATTTTGTTTAAAAAAAAACGATTGTTGAAAATGACTCTGTGACGGTGTTCTAAAATTTCAAACACCAGAACAGACAAAAAAGCCCACAAAACATGAAAAAGGACTGCTAAAGCTGAAACCCACCCCAGCATCAGTTGCTCCTCACTCAGGTGACCAAAGTTGTATTTTCCAACCAACACTCAAGGATTTACAGTATAATGGTATAAATTAGCGCAAATCTCTGAGGATAGTTTGAAGTTCATAGGAGACATAGGGGATGACACACACCACCTGTTCTCATCCCACCGACAACCAATGAAAATATTTAAGAGTCACTCATAATGATGTCAGCATTAGACTCCACAGCAAGATTTCTTTGAAAAACATAGACGACTCGTATTATTGGGACGAGTGTCTAAATAAGTTTTAAAGATGAGCCCAATACGATCACATGAAACTTGAAGCTCTCAAATGGACGTCCTACCAAATAGTACTTCAAAACTTGAAAGATTTAATGCTTTCATGGTTTTAACTAATTTACAATACCTTGATTCACTGTTCACCTGTCGTCGTCCCTTTCACTGTTCCATACTGATGTACACACACAGCTGGTGGTGGGCCGTAGTTCCATTTTATAGTCATCCTCAGAAATCTGAAACGGGAGCACAAATTCCCATTATGTCCAACTGATTGATGTCATCTATTGATGGGCATGACGAACTGATATGACAACAAAGTAAGGGGTGAAGAGGTTTGTAGCCAAGCCAGGTTAAAAGTGACTGAGTTGAGTTTATTCCAAGTTAATTAACTTTGCAAAACCATTTCCTTATCATCTGACAAAACTTGCATGACACATTTTATACAAGCGAAACAAACAAAGAAGAGAACGATGCGCGCGCGGTTCAAAGTTTCAAAGATCACCTTACTTGAGCGGGTGACTTCAGGTTTCACAATTGCACAGACACGAGAAAACTGTTACTCAGTGTTAAATTCAAGGGTAGCATGAAACGAACGCGCAATTTGTCATCACAAATCAAAACCAAGGTACGTTTCGGCCGCTAGATTTCTCATACCAGAGTCATACCACGTCTCAAACAAAAGTGGTGCCTGTTGTTTATCTTTTTGAATTTGGAAAGCATTGAGCGAAAGACACTATTCCGGTCTTTTGCTGTTTGACAATTATTTATGCCACTTTTCTCTAGTGAGTATCTGTGACATGTTGTTATAAGTTACTGTGGACGTTTCGTCTGTCTCCTAAATTCGTGAACTAAGCACTTGTCATGCTTTGATTCAATTTATTTCTCTGTAGAGGTTATTTTATGTCTTTATTTTCTAATTCGTGGTTTGTTTCTTTGCAGGTGAAGCTTGGTGATGGTATGAAACAAATTGTTTCTACCCTCTGACATTGTCCTAGGGAGACATGTCTTCAGTATTTGTTTTGCACATGGTGAGTGTTAGTTTGATGTCAGATTTGTAGGAACACAGGTGTCATTTTGATCAACTCTTAATGTTCAGTTAAAGTTTGACTAAAAGGAGCAGAAAATAATTAACCGGGTGCTATCAGTGGAGAACTGAGAGACAAAAATGCAAGAAATGGTCCCAGGGCACATGAAATCTGGACGTGAAACTCTTTGGTCACACTCAACCTTTATAACATCGGTTTTTATTTGAACAATTTGGGTTGGTATTAAAATTATGAGATGAGATACATCTCTGTGAGCTGAGCCTTGTCAGCCTTTTTTGCTTACACTGCAGTGTTTTTAAAACTCTGACCGCTAATATTGTGTACGATACAAAAAAAATTCTCGTATGCAAAGTTTTAGTACAGTCTACTGTCTTTTTTCATTGTTAACAAGCATCGTATCCATTGTTTCATGGCAAGCCTTTACAAATATAAGTAGCTGAATGAAATGGGATGTGAATCGAGGAACCAGCCTGCTTCTGAGAGAATGTAAAGGGACTCACAGACCAAGACTCACACTTACTTGTTTTGTAAATTGTCCACATAATATCCACTGCTGCAACCACCATTAATTTACCAACTTGTTGTCTCAATGCCGTCATTGTGTCATGCAAGGCTATGTACACTCAGACCTGAGCTCTGATGCCGGCTTTGAGTTTCAAACCTTCAAAGCAGCGAACAAGTGCCCTCACCTAACATCTATATTGTGTGCTCCATGAACACTGTCTAATGTGAAATGTCACAAATTCTGTATTCATTATTTTTATTTTTAAAAATTAAAAATACATTTGCGGCAGAAAGTTTATTGCCATGAAAATGGTTCCGAGAGATCAATCCTGAAATTATGTATTTTTCACCAACTTCAAGAATCAAAGCCGAGTTCAAAGAAAGTAAAATGTCGCCTCATTTGATCTTAGGTATTAACATCAACTGGGCTGGTGACTGCTGTCAGGTCAGATTGAGAAATATCCACGTTCTACTCTTCAGAAAAATATTTTAGCACATGATCAGTATTCTGAAGAATGGAGTACAATTAAAATAACCATTTGTATATTTGCCATGCGTAGCGATAGTAGGGTCAGTTGGGGTAATTATGGGACACGGGGTAAAAATGGGACAGCTGATTCTTGGTCATTGTTTGAAATTTTGGAACTCATGCCATACCAAATGTTATTTTCACAATAAAAACATCACATTTCGCATGGCACGAGTTCAAAAATGTAAATCCTTGACCAAGAATCAGCTGTCCCATTTTTACCCCGTGTCCCATAATTACCCCAACTGACCCTAGAACACCCCAAAAAATGGGACGTTCTCGTCATCATTTCTGAAAAAATGCGTGTGTTTTCTGGTTGACAGGACGGGCCAGTCCGAGAGGAGCGACGGAGTTCGCCGGCCCGCTCTGAGCGACAGGACCCGACAGTCCATAGGGAGTTGAGGGCAGCAGAGCCTCCACCAGAGCAGCACCTCCAGGAGCTTGACTCCAGTGCCATCGATCTGGCGGAGGAGACTGGCGACGCAAGCGGCGCACAGCACCATGAGGTGAGTTCCCCGTCGTCAGGCCATCGTCTCATGGCCCCTGCAGACAGACTGTTTCAGACGGTCGTCTCTCTGTCTCTCTCGCACTCACAGGCGTTCCCTATGGGTGCTAGAGAGACAGAGCGACGAAAACGACTCTCAGAATCAGTCTGCTGGCGGCGCAGGCACGCTGGCGAGAAGCGTGCGTCCATGCAGGTTGGGTTGCCTACCTCGTAGGCGCGTCCCTCGGCTGCTCGTTCGTGGCACGCCCTCAGAGCTTCCGACGTTCCGAATCACCATCACGTGGCGTGTTGGTTTTGGAACAGGAGTGGTTGAATATTGTCGCGCTTTCAAGTTTTATCTCAACGTTGTGTGAATAAATATGTGTAGATGGGGCGCTGAGAGATCCATTCACAGCAGATCTGTTTTGAAAGAAGTTTCGTTTTACAAATTTCTATTTTAAAATATGGTTAGAAATTTTGTAATTTTGGGGCAGAATTCCTCTCAAGGGGTGCTATACTTTTTTTTCGGATTATTTTATTTATCAAAATGCAGTGATCAGTTTCAAATAAATGGGAACACGCGTTATAGAAACGAAATTTACTGTTAAAAATGAATGAAATTTAATGACATTTCTGGCATTATTTTTCATTAAACGTCATTATTTGCTCACACAATTGTGAGCTCACATTATTTGCTCATACAATTGCTCACAAACATCGCTACCTTTCGTGTTGTTTTCTCACAGTGTACGTAGGGCCGGTGGATCGCACTGGGCATTGCCCCCCGGATACAGTGACGGATCCAGGGGCAGTCTTTTCGTGGGGCAAAGTAGCACTTTTTGCCTACTTACAGGGGCGAAGCATGGCTCTTTTCCTACCTTTCATAGCCTGGCTAGGTGCTATGAGAGGTGCAAAAACTCCTTTGGCCCTCCCCTGCTTCCGTACCCGGGTATAATGGCTCGCAGTTCTGAGCCAAATGTTGTTCTCGCCATCGTCAAAGGGTCACGTAGCTGTTCGGTGTTCCAGATCGCCTCACAACTCGAGGGAAGCACGCCCGACAAATGCGGCAAGTGTGCCGCCGACTTCCCCTCCCTGGCCAAGATGGTTGTGAAAGTGCCCACCCTCACGGGGAAGAAGCCAATGCAGTGGACAGTGTGTGTGAAGTTAAGTGAAGTGATGGACTTGCGGAGACGCTTTGGCGTCCGCGACGCGGCCACGCCCCTCGAGTGCACGTTTTGCCACACGAAGTTGCCTGTGATAGACCTCGAGAAGCACTTGATATCGCATGCTTTTCAGAAGCCCTTTAAGAGAAAGTGTTCAGTTTGCCACGAGAAATTTACAGCCACGGAGTCTCTCATCGCTCATTTCAGAAGGGAGAGGATGTTTGTGTGCAAGGTGTGCGATATGGGGTTCGGTCGCGCAGCGCTCCTCGCTGCCCATTTAAGGACTCACTCAGTGGACAAGCAAATGATCGGACAACTTCACAGGACATCGTCGGAGCAAGATGTGGCCCAGTGCGCTGCGTGTGCCGCTGATTACCCATCCTTGTCCAAAATGGTTGCGAGTGTCCGCACCCACACCGAACAGAAGCCACTGGAGTGCTCGGTTCGCGTGACTTTAAGTGAAGCGGAGAAACTGGAGGGACGCCTGACTTACCGGCGAGGTGAGATGCCATTCGAGTGCGCAGTGTGCCGGCTCAAGTTCGATGAAACAGACTTCCTCAAAATGCATTTTCAATCTCATGTGGCTGAGAAGCCAATAAAGTGCACAGTTTGCCGTAAGAATTTTACAGCTTCAGAGCATCTCATAGCCAATTTTAGAATCCACGCAAAGAAGGCACCTGCCAGAAAACTTAAGTTAAGTGATGAACTTTCTCAACTAGAGGATCTTAATGTAAAGTTCGGTGAAGTAGAACAAACAGAAAAACACCTTGGCTTGAGAACCGAGACAGAGAAGCCAGCTAGCAGACATCCTTGTAACTTTGGAGATGCATCTGCTCAAAGTATTCAAGTTACTAGCACCCATTCCCTGGGCGAGCCTTACAAGTGCAAAATTTGCAGTAAGCAATTTACCCATGAAAGCCTTCTTTCATTGCATCTTGGTTACCACGGAATAGGCAAATTTTTTAGATGCGCAATTTGCAGCAAGTCTTTTAGTTCTCGAACCGGACTGAAATATCATTTAAGAACGACCCATGAAGGAAAGAACCGCCTCCTCTGTGAATTTTGCAATAAAACGTTTGCTTTGCCACAGACACTCGTGGCGCACATTAGAACCCATGAAAGGGACGAGCCGTTTAAATGCGAAGTTTGCAATACGGCCCTTCAGCTTCCAGGGCACCTCGAAAGAAACATTCGGATGCATTCAGAGGAAACGCTGTTTGAGGGCGAGGTTGTGTGCTCAGTATGCCATAGTCACAATAGTTTAAGGGCACTCATGCCAATCCATGCTTCGGAGGAGTCTCAGAAGATCCCAGTCGAAGACAAGGATTGCAATGTGGAATTAAAAGAAGAATCGGCTCATAGAATTCATATTCAAATGCATGATGAGTGCAAAGTTTCCGACAGAGAGAATCATGAGTTACAGATAGAGAAAAATCTCGATCCTAATATACATACAAGGAGAACAAAGTTTACCTGCAATGTATGCGATATGCATTTCAGTGATGTAAGTTACCTTAGGAAACACCTCGTCATCCACTCACTGCAGGAACCGGCGAGCCTTTCTAAAATTTCGTGTCAAAAAACGCGCGTCTAAATTAATCTAGCGTTCTGCGGAAGTTACCAAGAGAATGTCACATTCAAAATGGTCTGAACACATGAACTAGATAGACGCAATTGTGGTGATTAATTTTTAAAATGATGTGTATGTCTACATCTTTATTTGATATATGAAACTGGAAGCATGTTTGAACGTTCTTGAAATTTTTGTTATAGTCAGAAACATCTTGTCTCGTGGACCTAAACTGCAGAGATCCCCTGTTTTACTCGCTATTTGTTCATCCGAAAATAGTTTCTGATGTGTTGTAATCTGTGATGCTCATTATGTGGAGAAACTGGAAAACCGAGTGGAAAGTATCCGCGTTCGCACGTTGTTTTGGCTGTCCTCTGCGTGTTAAATGAAGGACTTTATTTAAACAGTCATGTTAAGTTAATCTCCCAAATAAAAATTTTCAACCAAAGTTCGAACCTAGTCTGAATTTCTTCAGTTGGCTTGAAACTGCCACAGATGCCTTTTCACTGTCACACAGATACTTAAAATACCATTATTTAAATTTAGCAATTGCTAGTTAAGCAATATTTGCACTAGCAGCTGATCCCAAGCCCAGCGGTGCTTGCGGAGGCTGTTATTACCGAACTTGAAGAAGGGATATGGGGCCAGGGGAACTCCACGGGCGGATGGACACACGCACAGCATGTATCCTGTTGCAGTATATGCTTGTTCTCCGGCTCTAGAAAGCAAAACACATATAGGAAGTAGGCTCACCATAAGAATGTAGCTTCTAAAAGCAGAACGCTCAATTGTTCAGTGTGTTGTTTCACTGATTGACAGGACCGGACCGTCCAAACGGAGCTACCGGCAGCGAAGCCTCCTGCCGAGCACAACGACGGCCCGGACCTCCACTTGAAAGCCACAGGCCTGTCTCTGCCTGGGGAACTACAGGAGGAGTCCAGCTGGGCGGGCGTACAGCAGCACGGGGTGAGTTTGCTGCCGCCAGGCCAACGCAAAGCGTACCCTGCAGGTGGCCAAAATCCCGGACGCGTTTTGAGCTCCAGATTCGCGAAATGGGGCAGGAACCGAACGTGTGACTCCATCAATGGATTGCTCTTCGAACGAGGAATCTGTTGGTGGGGGTCACATGCTGGGTTCTTGTTCTTTTTGGCGACTGTGAAGCTCAGATCGCGTCTAGAGTTTCGGTCGGCAGCGCACTGAGATTCCAAACGCTATGAGTATAGCACGTATGGTGCAATGCAGCTGAGATATCGCACCATACGTGCAATGCGATAGCCATATCACACCTTACGTGCGATGCGTCCCGAAAATGCCCTATGCTGATGCAGGGGAATGGGGAGGCATCGCACCTCATGTGCAATGATTTTGTATCGCACCAATTGACGACGCTATACTCACAGCGTTTGGATTCTCAGTGCGCCTGCGTCGCTTTATGGCCCCTGGCGGGTAGGCACGCTGGCGAGAAGCTTTCTTCTCTGTAGGTTGGGTTGCCTACCTCGCTGTTCGCAGGGGCCATGGATGAGGTTGCCAAAGTTTTGTGTCGTTTGCGTGTCGCGGCTAGTGCTCTGTTTCGTTTCTTACGGGCGTACGGAAGTCAGAAGCGTCAAAGCGTTAAGGTACAGAGCGCTAGGCCCGGCACGGGAAATGGCACCTATAACTTACTTTTTAGATCTTCCAATGCAGTGCACTTTGTCAATGAGTAACCTGTTGCGTGTTTCAGACTGCTCCAGTCCAAGCCCGAATAATTGGCCTCAAATGCTCACAATGCGCCGCTAAGTTCCCATCCATATCCGAGCTGATGGCGCACGTCCCCTCGCACACTGTACAAAAGCAGCCCGAAAATTATCTCAAGTCCAAAGATTGCAAAAGGACTTTTAGTTCACAAAGGGGACTCAGAAACCATTCCTCAAAAATCCATCAATGGGAGACTCTGCTAAAATGCAAAGTTTGCAGTTACACGTTTAGGACGGCAGCGGCATTCAAAATTCACTTTAGAACCCATACAGGCGGGGGTTTGTTTGAATGCCAAGTATGCAGCAACGCGTTTAGCACTGCTGCCGAGCTTAAACACCATTCACGAATACATTCAGACGACATTCCTTTTAAATGCAAAGTTTCAGGTAACCCTACTGGGGATAAGCTATTTCAATGCGAGATTTGCCATAAGAACTTTTCGGCCAGAGAATGGGAAACTCACCTCGCTCTCCATCAAAAAGTGTATGAGTGCTCAAGTTGCCATCAAAAGTTTCACACATTACAGCAATTTGAAACACACATTAAAACCACAGGAGAGGATTCGTTCGTGTGCACAATTTGCGGAAAGAAGTTTGTTAGAAAGAGGAACCTCGTGGAACATCATAAGACTCACACAGGGGAGAATAATATATTTGAGTGTTCAGTTTGCCATATAAGGGTTAGTAGTGCAAGAAATTTGAATAACCACCTCCGTATTCATACAGGGGAGAAACCGTCTGAGTGCAAGGTTTGCCGTCGAAGGTTTAATAATAAGGGCGCCCTTACTCGCCATCGTAACACAATTCACTCAGAGGCGAAGCCTTTAGACTGCACAGTTTGCAATAAAAAAATTCGTGATATGTGGTCTATAAAGCACCTTTCCCAAGTTCATATGAAGGAAAGGTTTTCGTGCGCTAAGTGCAATATATATTTTAGCGATGAAAGTTATCTCAGAAAACACATCAGCACCCATATAGAGTAGAATCATTGATTGAAGGAGTCTTTTGTGATTTTGGGTGTTTTAGTGCCCGTTGAAGAACACAACTTGTAACTGATCCCGAAGATATGGAAAAATTCCTTAGATGGTGTGTTAACCAAATATTGTTTGCATGCTCAAATTTGATGAAAATTACATCCTATTTTTAAACAGTGATGTGTTTTTATTTGGCCATGCGTTGTATCGCTTGTATTTGTTCAGTCAGTAAGATCGTAACCAATTCTGCTCGGATCTCAACGCAGTCCGAATCATCACCCTTTAGAATGGTTTAGGACCAATTTCAGAATGGATTATTGATTGGTTTGCCAGAAAAGCCTGTATTTTAATGTTAGCTTACGGGCAAGGTAACTGAAATGTAGGCCTAGAGATGACTGATTTTAGCTAAGGACGAAAGGGATACACAAAGTGGGGTGGCTACCGATCACACAGCGCGGCGGGCTATCGCCTGATAACAAAGGTACCGGAGGCCGCCATGAGAACACTGAGAAAACCTTACAAACTATTTCAGGCCTCACAAAGAAAAGCAGCTTGTTGTAACAAAGTATTGACCATACACAAAGCTCACAAAGAAAATACTTCGTAATTTACGACCTATTTCTTAATTCGTATTACAAAGTAAATTAGTTAAATTAAGGTTTTAAGCGTGAAGGAACAGACCGATGGCAGCGTCAAGTAAAGACGAAGCTGGGTCCGAGTTGGCAGTCGGATTCTGGCATGAGCTGCAGCTGACTCTGCTCCACTTGCTGAAGGCGCGGCACTGCTTGACGCACAGGACCGTGTGCGCTGCTCTCTGGTTTGGCCTCACCTCGCGCACCAGGGTCACGTCCTTCATGTTGCCGGGCGTGGCCGCCACCGCCGCGTGGATTTGGCACAGCTGGAGGTGCGAGAACTGCACGGTGTCGGCCAGGGCGATGCGCACGGACTCGGCCGGGCACTTTCGAAGCCAGTACGCCAGGTCGCGGACGGGCACGTTCAACTGGAGCGTAAACAGTCTCTCAGACGCAGCAAACGCTTTATAGACTTTTCTGATAGTGCAGGCTTGTGTAGCTTCTTTTGTTTGTAAACCTCTAAATAGTTTGTAAGGTTTTCGTAGTGCACTTCTGCGCGCTTACCTCCAGCTTCTGCAGCGTTCGCGAGAGAACGGTGCCGAACATGCCCGTGGTCGGGTCGGTGGACTCGTGGTACTCGAGGGACAGCGACCGGAGGCTCGCCATTCCCCGCAGCGCCGTGACGTGCTCCTCGCGGACGCCCTCCAGGCCCAGGTCCTGCAGCCTCGGCCCCAGCTTGAGGAGCAGCGCGCAGGTCCACGCGGGGTCGCAGTCGCAGCGCAGCCCCCTCAGCGAGACCTGCTCAGAACACACTTGCGTTTCAGGAGACACTCGAAAGCGTGAGACGTTAGTGTCTCCCCGTTGGAAGCGTGAGACCATCGGTCCACGCCAAACAGTGCGAGACTATCCCACAGGTGGATTTGCAGTGTGCGTTCCGCCAAGGCAAGCGTCCTCTGTGAAAATTTCCGTACTATAGGGTACTTTTGTAGATCCTGAACCGGAAGCACGCATACGCCATGTTGGCGGAAGCAGATCAAAACTTGACATGGAAAAGGGGCGATAGTCATACGTATCGGCCACACTTGAACATTAACAGTCGTTTGATACTTATCTGCAGTGCATATGTGCTTTGCAAGCAATATTGGTACAGCTCGGCTCTAGTTTTAGACCTGAAGAGAGCTTCCGGCCGATATGGCGTCTGCTTGCTTCCGTTTCAGGATCTACGAAAGTACCCCATTGTACGGAAGTACGGAAAAGGTACGGAACGTCCGTACTTGTCCCATCAGAACTCACGTAATCGGGTACGGAAAAATAGTACAGAAGTTCCTTAGTAGGGCAGGTACGGACGGTCCAGGCAAATTGTTGACCAGACATGTTCCGTACTTTTTCTGTACTTTTTTCTCGCGGTGTATCCTTACGTCGGGGAGGTCGCTCTGCAAGGCGACGTCCTTCTCGGCGCGCAGCTCCCGCGCGGTTCGCTTGCTCATCTCCTGCAGGGTCCATGTCCGCTTTCCGCCAGTGAGCGTCTGCAGGGCGTCCGTCACCGAACTGAAAAAGTTGTCGCTCGGCGGCACGGCGCGCGCTGGGATAGACGGCGGTAGTGGTTGTAGCGGCGGTTGCAGCTGTAGTGGAGGTCGCGGCTGTAGCGGCGGTTGCAGTGGTTGTGGCGGTTGCAACTGCTGCGGTGGTTGCAGCGGTTGTGGCGGTTGCAACTGTTGCGGTGGTTGTGGCGGTTGCAACTGCTGCGGTGGTTGTGGCGGTTGCACCGGTTGCGGGGGTTGCCGCTGTTGTCGCGGTTGCGGCGTGGGTGTCGGCACGGCGTCTTCCTGGGCCTTGCTCGTTGCCTCCTCATCGGGAACCCGCTGAAACGATGTGAACACTTTTTTAGCGTTGGTGTCTCGAGTGGTGTGCACGGCACGTTAACCCCGGGGCATACAGGACATGAGCCCCGTCCCGTTTGAGCCCCGATGGTCTGAGCCCCGACCTGGGAGCCCCACTTGAGCCCCATTTGAGCCCCACGACCTGAAATCACGCATTTTTGCATGATTTATTGCCGTGGGGCTCAAGTGGGGCTCATATGGGGCTCAAACGGGGCTCAGGTCAGGGCTCAATCCTGGCTCTGAAAACTGGGGCTTGGGTCGGGGCTCAAGTCAGGGCTCAACCCGGGCTCAGGTTGGGGCTCAGGTCGGGGCTCAAACGGGACGGGGCTCATGTCCTGTATGCCAACCCCGGAGAGTGAATTTCACCTCTGGCGAAACAGCACAGAAATCTACAGAAAGAGGTACGGTATTGTCTAACTACAGTGTGGGTTCGTCTAAGCGTAGATCGCTAATACAATTATTAGGAGTCCGAAACGTTGATGAAAATGCCATCGGTTTTACTTCGAGCCGATGTCATTTCGCACGAACTCCATCGCACAGTAAAAAATTTACGACGAACCGTTTCGTAATACGAAGAAAATGAAGGTATTGTAAATCTACAAAGAAATGCTTCGTATTATGAAGAAAAATCCTTCGTAAGACGAAGCATTTCTTCATGATAGGAAGCAATTCTACAACGCCTTCACTTTCTTCGTAGTTATGAAGCAGTTGCTTTGTGGGCTTTTAAGAGTTCGAGGCTAAAGGCAGAAGCAAGTACGAGGAGGGCATAAACAGGTTACCACTAAGCTTTGCCACCAGAGCACTTAAGTGATGGACAGGTGATGGAGTACTAAATTTGAGTAAGAAAGCGTGTACCGGGTGTACATGTACACTTGGGCTTCAGTGCACTCATTACCGTTCACTGCAGCACCCACTGCCGCACAACGAGCCACAACGCCCGGCTAACACACAAGCTACGCTCCGCAGAAGCACGAAGGGATGCCTACCTCTGAGGCGTCTGTGGCGAACGGGATGCCTAACTGCAAGGCGCTCAGAGAACAACTAACAAATTGTGTTGTTTCTCGGAAATTTTTTTTCCGATTCTGTGGTTTTAAATACTTTGCTAGTTTTGCGAAGGAAGCGAAACAGTATATTAATAAAATTTTGAGCGTTGATGTGAGAAACTAAAGTTTCTTTCCGTGGAAAGGGCTGTTCATTTTTATGGCGTGTGTGTCCACATCAAATCAGGATTTAGTCGGTTAAGCTAAAAAGTGTGTGCGTGTCTTTCATTCTGCTAACATAGGTTGGGAAGAATCAATGGGATGAGATATTCTGGATACCACGGCGCATCAGATTTGAACTTGAGACATAAAAAGTAACGAACTGACTTCACTTTGTCCCCACTGCACGTTTACAATGAACACACAACACAAAGTGAACGGTGGAGGCTTTTAGAAAGCCAGAGCAACCCAAGTTTTTTGTCTTGAAACAAAGCGACACTTATGCGAACACTGTACGGTGAAAGGCTGCACCAACATATTATGGTGAAGATTCTCTCCATAATACCAACGAAATTGGTCAAAATATCTATAAGGAACAGTGAATTCTTAATAGTATGTTATGAAGTCAGCTGCACCACCATAATGGAGAATCTTCGCTGTACAACATTTAGAGTGAAATATCTGCTAATTTTCATCAAAATTTACAATGATTGATTTTTTCTATAGCTACTATACTGTGAAATATTTCCAGGGTGCGTAGTTTTCATGCCATAGAGAATTCTCACTACTCGGCTGAAAGCTGTTCCAATCTCAATTTGTACAAGAATTTTGGTGTCCCGATTCCTACAATTGCTGCCCAATTCTCTTGAGTGGTCGTTGCACATCAAATTAGTGTCCCAGAACATCACGTATGAAACATCCACATACGAAGATGAGTACGGACAGACAGACAGCCACACAGACATGCAGACAGACACGACGACACACGTGCACAGACCGAGTCCCTTCTTGCCCCCAACGTCCACGACGTCCCGGCGACCACCGGAGGTTGCCTCCACCACGATCGCCGTGCCGCTCTACCTCTTCCTTGTCGAGGCGCAGCACGCCGGCGCGCTGCAAGTGCACCAGCAGGCCCCGCACCACGGCGAGGGCGTCGCCGTCGCCGCCGAGGTCCACGTCGGCCGTCCAGCGGCCGCCGCCCGTCGCCGCCGCCCGCACCTCCCACGTGCCGGCCTCCGCCAGCAGCTGCAGGGTCAGCTCGTCCGCGGCCAGCCTGCGCCAAAGCCACAATGAAAATTTGTTGTCACTTTATGACAAAAACGTGGATGACATTTTCATCACTTCGAAATGATGACAATCTCGTCACTAATTGATGACATTTTCATCAAAGCTCCTATACTTATTGCATGGGCGTGACTACTATGTCATTGATTGAATTAATGGCATCCTTGTAAGGAAAATTAGCCTTGAAATTGTCATCAAGTGACGACTCATATTTTCACAGTGAAGGGGCGGCTGTCAACACCTGCGCACACTCTGTCTCATATAGACTTTTCATTCTCTTCCTTGTAAAGATTTTTTGAGCAGACGTAAATTGAACCATTTTCTCTTTAGCTATGCGTAATTTTGATCGTTTTTAAGATAAAATTGTCAAAGATCATGTAGAAATCAGAAATTACATTGACCTACATTGACCATGAAATAGGGCTGGATGGCGGCTCACTTACCTTGCCTCGCTCTCCTGGCGGGCCTTCTCCACGTCGGCCTCCACGAGGTCCCACTCGGGCCCCACGAGATCCAGGCCGTCGTACAGGCGCGTCAGAACCTCCTGCCCTCTCGCTGCCGCCGCCGCGGTCTCGGCCACCTGGAAGGACAAAATGCGCAACACTGTAAAAGTGAATTTTGAATTCACAGCGGAACGTTCAGTGATCGATTGCCAACAGATCGGTTTTGACTTCTTTCAAAAACTGGTGCTGATTTTCACGACCTTGCTTAATTTTCTAGGCGCATCATTCTGGAAACCACGGTTACTTCTGCTACACTCTTAAAACCTTACGAAGTATTTGGAGCATACATATAACAAACTAAAACACTTTGTTACGAAGAAATCGTTCGTAAATTACGAAGTATTTTCTTTGTAAGCTTATGTATGCTCAAAATACTTTGTTATACAAACTACTTTTCTTTGTAAGGCCCAAAATAGTTTGTATGGTTTCCTCAGTATACGTTACTGCTGATTTAAAAGCGTTTTAGGCGAAACCGAAGCATTTTGCGAAGTGTACGCCACCACAAGCAATATTGTCTCCGGTTTGCATTTCTTAAACTCCATGGAAGGAATTTTTGCAGCCTGATGGGCATAGTTATTGAAAATAAAAGTACATAAACATTCGGAAATGCCCCGACGGGGTAGTCTCGTTCACGGGGCCTCCTACTTGCAGCTTCGCGAAGTCCCTGACGCCGGCCTCCACGGCCTTCAGCTTGTCCGCCAGGCGGCGCTGCGTGCTGACGGCGCGCTCCAGCAGGTCCAAGGTGGGCTTCATCTGTTTGGCCCGCTCTTGGTGCAGCCGGCGGAGGGCGTGTTTGTCTTCGCAGACGGGGTCCGCCACCGCCTTGCAGTCCAGGCACCAGAACCTGGCACTGCTTCCGCCACCAGCGCCCCTGTCGGCAAATAGGGCTCTGTCTATACTCTAAAATTTTGCGAACAACAAGTTCATAATACGCCCAAAGAACGTCATTTTGATGTCAATATGACAAATTTTAGTCAAAATTTCGACAGAAAAAGCATCATTTTGACGTTACTCTTACGTCCTTTGACTGTTTCGTGTTCTTCGGGCGTCCTTTGCAAGTTGAGAATAGGAGAACAGGGGAACAGGAAGCCAAAATCCACTGTTTTAAAGCAATGTTCTTACTGGGCAAGAATATTTCTTTGATTCAAGACCACTATTTCAGGTTGAATAAGGGTGGCAGTTCTACGGAATGCAGCGCCGCTTCATACCTCGCTTTTTCGGGTTTAGGAAGTTCCTGGATCAAAGACATGATGTAGTAGTTGTCGTTGAGCTCCTCTGGTTTGCATCGCGTTTCCTGTAACGCCAAATAAAAAATTGTTTTGTTTGCTTTTTTGAAACGCTTTATTTTCGCGGTCTTCGCTTGCACTAGTTTTTATTCTGACCTCAAGCGGCGCACAGAGTGCCAGAAGACCGGTGGAGGCGGTCAAAATCCCATACACGTTTTGAGCTTCAGAGTCGCTAAGCATGACTCGAATCAAACGTGTGACCCCACCAATGAATTGCTCTTATAACTAGGAAACCATTGGTGGGGTCACACGGTCGGTTCGAGTCCCATTTAGTGACTCTGGAGCTCAAGACGCGTCTAGAGTTTTGCCCGCCCCCGCCGGTCTTCTGGCCCACACTACCTTCCGGTCGATGGGGCAGAGGAAGGCCGTCTCGGCGTCGCTGCGCGCGTCCCGCGCCTTGTCCCGGATGCCCACCACGCACGTCAAGCAGACCGTGTGGCCGCAGGACAGGAGCTTCGGCCGCCGCGTCGCCAGGTCGAACTGCTCGCAGCACACCTCGCACTCGAGGGACCGTTCCAGCGAGTCCGCCATCCTCCCCGGGCTGAAAAGGACTCTTTGGCAGAGAGCGCTCCAGTTTTGCGACACACACCACGTGGTTTTGTACACATTTTGTGCGAGATGCCACAGTTTTGTTTGTGCAGACAACCTTTTCGTTCAACTCGTGGGACGCAATTTTGCACAGAAATGGGTAAACGTGTCCAGTTTCCCATGTGGAAATCGTACAAAAAGTTCATTTGCGCATAAGGAACTGCACCCGTTACATTCAGTGTGTATCACGCCGCGATCCGTGTCCATTGCCGTAATCTGGGAACGCCTTGGCCAGCACGCGGTGGCAGTAATGCACAGATGACGTCACTGACACGAATCATTGAACTAGACCAGCAAGGACAACCCTTTTATTGCTTTCCGTGCCAAGCTCGGAAGTGTCGCCGATGTATAAACAGCGGGCAAGACTTCGCCACTCACCCACCAGTCCTAAAGACGTTGAACGGCAAAAAAGGTACACCCGCTGATGTCGGGAGTTGACTGCAGACGTGCCAATACCTGGCGCGCTATCAGTACACTGCAGCTATCGCCGTGATGATAGCGGGTCTTGCATCGCAGGGACGATACCCCGTGCGCTGCTGCTGACGTGGGGTATGTACGGCCACACTCTTAATGTCTCACAATGAAATTTGATCTATGTTATTCGCATGTTACAGTGAATTCGGCGCAAGCATGATACGAAGCAATATTCCTTCGTAATACGAATCTTTTTAGCTTTTTCATTGTAATATACAAAGAAAAACCTTCGTAATACGAAGAAAAACCACCTTCGTATTAAACTTGCGCCATTTCCTTCGTAATATGGGAAATTTCTTTGTAAGACATTTAGAGTGCAGCCGGAAGATTCTCAATACTATGCGTGAAAACTTCTCTGTGGTGCAGCTGTCTTTGTAACTCACCTCTGAAAGTTGGGGAGCCTTATGGAGATATTTTGACCAATGCCGAAAATGCTATCAATCATAGGGCCGTCCACAAATTACGTAACGCTTGGCTCTGTCCTTGTTGCAATGCCCCTTTACGGACTGCCCGTGAGTGCAAGAGGGAAAGGAGACGTTACGTTATTTGTGGACGAACCCCCAACTTAATGAATGGGTGACACTGTTGCGAAAGAAGTGCCTTTGCTCCCAGACGGCTTCTGGAAAAGAGGTCCCGTTTTACTGGGTGGGCCAAGGACTGCCAGGTGCTTCTTTTGCCATGAGAGAGGTACGCAGTACGTGACCGATAAATGTCTGTTGGCAAGCACACGTAGGCTTGTGCTCGGGCCTGTGAAGAACACACAGTAGTTTTCTGATCAAGCCGAGTTCATTGGGATATAAAGGATGGTGGATTGGAAAAGTGAGGCAGCTTTTATTAGTACATTTAATTTGTTCTCAGATTTTTTTCTGATCGGGAAGATTTTGATGTGTACAAATACATTGCCTTGTAAGTGTGCTACGGCAAACAACAGTGTCACATTTCATTTTTTTTTTAAATTGACATGTCTTCCACGTACATGCGCCGCCGTGGTAAGGCTCTGGGCTCTTTGAATAGGTCCACAGCTCTTGAGGTGACAATTCCAATGATGCTCCAGTGAGTATACAATCCAGGAAATGACAATCCATCATAAAATTATCAAATCGCAGTCTGTGTTAAGAAATAAGTTCATAGTACCCAATAGATTAGTTTTTGACGAAATTTTGACCTCACATTGTCCCAGTGACATGAAAATGGGAGCATCGTCGTGTTTTGGGCAGCAATCCGAAAAAGTGTTACATGAAGCGGCCGCGGCCCATCGTGCCACCCATGCCGCCCATACCACCCATGCCACCCATACCACCCATACCACCCATGTCGCCCATGCCACCCATGCCTCCCATCATGCCACCCATGCCGCCCATGCCTCCCACCATGCCACCAAGGCCCTCCTGGGCGTTTCCCTCGGCCATACCCCGCTGGATCATAGTGCGACGAGCCGCTAAGGTTGGTGTGAGGGTCGGCACCAAGCTGGCAAACATTTGCCCAAACGCCAATTGATGGGCCAATTCTTGGGCGCGTCCTTCTGTAAGCGGAGTTTCAAGAACCTGCTGGAAGCCTGTACTCTTGGGAGAGCTACCTCCACCCAAACCATCCCTTGGCCCCCGTTGGTAGTGACTTGGGTGGTGTCTCGTGCCCTGCTGGCTTTGGCGCGACCGATGCCTTGGCCCGCTGCTCCATGGTCATCTTTTTGATGCCATGTGTCTCTACACACACGGCGTTGGCCTCTGCGTTGCATTCCAGGCACCAGAACGTCACTGAAAGGGGAAAAAGGTTCGGTAAACATCAGTGAAACGAAATGTTGATGGTTGGGAACAAGTGTCGGAACCGGGCGTGTGACGCAGCGCTGGGTTATTTACAGTTCATCTTTCACACCAGCAATTGCAACGTGAAAGACATTTAGACAAGACGTAAGTTGCGGGAAAGTTAAGAAAAGTTTTTCGACAGACAATGAAAATCTGATTATGGGTAATTTTCGTATCAAAATCTTGGTAGGAAAATTATCACAGTCGTGTCAGATTCAATACACACTGCCAATCCATGCGCTATGATTATTGCACCCAATTGATGTGTTGCGCGATTGAACCGGATTGAACGAGTTCTCATCGCACCGCAATGCTTTGGCCTTGCCCGCAAACTGAAATACTCCCACATACACTAGCAAAGGGCATCTTGAAGATGTATCTCACGGTAGTGCTGTGTCTGTGCATTAAAGCGAGATGTGTCACTGCATGACATCTTTACGTCATGTCCTCAAAGCCTTCGGTTTAGTGAGTCCATTTACACTTTGTTTGCCACTGCTTAAAGTTCATATTGGCCTAATATCTGTAATACTTCACTCGTTTTCGGTAACGAGTCCCCTTGGGACGTGAAGTGAACAAAAATATGTTGAGCTTATTTCCATAAATTTGACGCTTGGCTTACTTTTCGGTCGATGCTGTTCGGTCTCTCCGCGAGCGCCGCGTGGGACTGCAGGACAGAAACTGATGCGCATTGGATTGACTCGCGGTTTATAATGTCCACAACCATCCCTACGAGCCTACCACACCTGGCGATTCGCAGATTGTTATCACTTTCCTGCTACGCCGCGAGGTCCCCGATGACGTCCTCGATTACGTCCTACGATGTGGCGTTGAGGCCTCCGGATGTCACGGCGCCCAACCGAGGGGGTAAACCCTCGTGTAATACCCTGTACACAAAAACTGTGTATTACGCGTAATACACGTAATTGTAATACCATTTTTGGGCCAAATGTGCCAAATTTTGGCATATTAATGCCGTAATACACGTGAAATATCCCCGTAATACAGCGTAATACCGAGTACTCTGTACACGGTTTCTCGGAGTGTTTACCCCCTCGCGCCCAACTGTGAAGTCCGTTAGTTTGTTCTATCTGAGCGTGTTGTATTTTTCCTGTTTTTCTCTGATGATTACGATAGAGAACGCGCAGAAGCTGCTCAAGGGGAATGCCCAGGGCGATATCGGTGGCCGTAGGACGCACTGAAAACGTAATGGTCGGACACATGGCCAAATTGTATTGTGACAAAAAGTCACGCCAATTCCCCCATGCATTTAGATAGGAAGAAAGGAGCGCATGAACTCTTGTACGCTTGAAGAAGGGCGTACTGGCTGTACGCTTCACGAAGGGCGTAATAGTACGCCTTACTTTTACCAGTGTAAGCTTACCTCAAAACTTAAATCGTTTTAAAATCTTGTCACCCCTGTCATAAACAATTCACTCGGGTTGCCACCAGCAATTTATCTGCAGGCAATACAACTGATTAGGCACGATTCTTACATTTTGGTCGGGCGTCCTGCCTGGAACACAGACGATACCCCGCACCCTCTGCAGATACTCCCTTATACCCCGGAGATACTCCACACCACGGGCAACACCCCGCGCCAGAGGCGCCATTATTGTCCGGCGTGGAGTATCGCAGCATGGAGCGGGCCAGCGACCTGGCAGGGAATGCCGCCTGGTGGCCACAGGTGGCAGTGGCATGACTTACAACAAACTGAGCACTCTATAGATGCAATAATTATTATTTATTAGCAAGTTTGACACTGACAAGACTAAGGTTAGTCTTCATTCTAGCGTTTCCATGCTCTTGAGGGTCTAATGGGCTTTTCGAAGCACAATGAGGAAATTTCCTTATGCATTTAGGTAAGGATAGGAGTGCTGAAGCCGAGGCGTACCCCACTCAAAGTTTTGCTGTACACAGATTGTTTGATTGTATAGGGTTGTTTGGACTACTGTATGATTTGGTCGTGCCATTTGTCTTCTTACAGGCGTTTCTGACGCACGATTGCGGGATTGTAAGTATCTTAGCTTACACAGATTTTCGAGTTGGACCCCTTGGCTGAGGCTGTAATTTTTACGCATTCTTTGGCAATTGGGTTAGGTTTGTATTGCATTCCTGGTTTCAGGGAAGCTCTGTATCTGTCTTGAGTGATACCGCGAAGAAACTGGTTCAAACTCTCTTCGAATTTTCACACTGAAAAGGTAATGGTCGGACAGATGGCCAAATTATGGCGTGACAAAAAGTCACGCCAAAAATTGGCGTGACACGAAATTTGCAACGATAGACGGCGTGACATGGGAGTCACGCCTTCATTTGGCGTGAATGACAACGCGTTTTAAGAGACAAGTCATGCCAAAAAACGGCATAACAAGAAATTCACACCAAAAATTGGCATGAACTTTTGAGTCACGCCGATTTTTGGCGTGACTTTTCTGTCATGCCGTTTTTTGGCGTGACACTTTATTCACGCCCCCGCAGCGGCACGAAGTCACGCCGGTAGATTTTCAGTGCATAGGTGAAGATTCAGGAAAAAATCAAGTCCAATATAGTTTGCCTACGTGTTTTTTTTATTATTTTATGTTAGGCAGAGAACAGACACTGTTTCTGGAACGTACAGCCTGCCATTCAGAGATTGCACGATTTTTGCTGAATGGCAGTATGTGTCCCCAGAGACATTAAAACAAAGACACAGAAAAATAACATCGCAGTAGCTTGTACGAAACATACCACAGTAACAGTCATCTGTGTTCATTTCATGGTGACGATAATAATATTGAATTTACGCATATAGCTGAAAATGTATCGGTCCTCTATAAATCTTAATAAATGGAACAATATGGTATGTTAATAATTTACACATCAGTAGCACGGCCATCTCACAATAATTACACGTATAATAATCACTTTAATAAATGGTAATAATAAGAAATAAACAGTAAATATATTTATTTATACGAAACTCGTTGGTAACAAATTGACATGGATTTAATCAATAACTAAACAATAATCTTCACGCTCAAAGACTTTTGGCAGTTGTACTCTTTACTACATTAAAGTTTGTCTCTCTCGCGTTAGTGCCGAGGCAGCAAAATCAATCTCAAAATTTCGTCGTTAGATTGCAGAAACAAGGGAAAACCCATTATTAGTTTAGTTCGTTCGTCCATACGGAAAGAAAATATCGAATGGGCATTCCCTCGCGCAAACTAATACTCGCGTTTTACCGTCCGAGGACGGATCGCAGTGAAACTGATTCTCGTTGGTTCATTTCCACACTTTGAAAGGCTTCGAGCGTAAAACAAAAAGAGGAGAGAACTTGCCGCCACGGGACGCACATTTCGATTTCCGTTCTCAGCACAGGAACTACGGAAAACTATGCCTCGTTTAGCAAGAAAGGGTATTTACCAAAAATCAAAGTTCTTACGTCGAACCATCTCATTGGTTACATAACACGGGCGCTATCCCGGTCAAATAAAATATTGCACCATAAAACAAAATAGTTATGCATTACACTTAAAAGAAAGGAATGTGTACGGATAGAAACGGTACACAGATAAACTATCGCTTAATCACATCTATTGAAAGATTTACAAGAAAAGGGCCACAAGTGCCCTGAGAAGGCAGGCGGCCTCGCCTAACACTTTCTAGTGAAGAGTAAAGCTATGCAGTCACCGGTAACGCGGCATACAACAAGGTTTGTACGAAAACAAAAAACAAAATAACGACAAAACAGGCACGCCAGCCGCGCGCTTCCCGGCCAAAATGAACACGACTGGACAGCCTCTCTGCCAACGCATCATCTACGAGGCCACTTGACTGCTAGTTACACATGGACATAAATTAATAATAGTCGTAATAATGTATAATGTTACTAAAATGTACACAGCTTATCAGCACCACTGCGGCTCGGCTCGCCGCCTGTTGAATAAGTCATTATCACATCTTGGCCCGGTGCGGCTACCAGTGTCCTTCACGGGCCGACCGGGAGCACTGCACATGCTGAGACTAGCGACGCACCCCACCGCACGGCGTCCCCGTTCGCTCCCCGCGCTGAGGTGGTGTCCAGTGGCCTGCGTCCTGCGGACAGTGTCTAGCGGACAGCCTCTACTAGACAGTGTCTCGTGGACAGCGTGCCCGGAGCGTCCACCCCGCGTGCGGCCTCCTGGCGGCCTCCAGGCGGCCTCCAGGCGGCCTCCAGGCGGCCTCCAGGCGGCCTCCAGGCGGCCTCCAGACGGCCTCCAGGCGGCCTCCAGGCGGCCTCCAGGCGGCCTCCAGGCGGCCTCCAGGCGGCCTCCAGGCGGCCTCCAGGCGGCCTCCAGGCGGCCTCCAGGCGGCCTCCAGGCGGCCTCCAGGCGGCCTCCAGGCGGCCTCCAGACGGCCTCCAGGCGGCCTCCAGGCGGCCTCCAGGCGGCCTCCAGGCGGCCCGCCGAGAACTGCGCCGGGGCGGCGCTCAGCGCGGGGAGGCCTGCGGTGCCTGTGGAGGGCTGTCGTTGGCGCCGTTGGCGGCAGGGTAGTAGTTCCTGGGTCCGGCCTGCTGGCTCGCCTGCTGGGCCCGCGGGCCCGCGGCGGGCAGGTGCCCATGGAGGTGCCATCAGGGACTGGCCTCCTGCTTGGTGGGCTGGTGCCAGAAGGCGTGGTGGGGGTGGGGGTGGGCGTCGGGGTGGGGGTAGTGCAGGAGGTGGGCGGCCGCCGAGTGGAGGTGGTCCAGGGGGTGGCCGTGCGGCAGCGAGTTAGCGTTGGCGTCGCAGGGCGCGCCGTGCAGCACTTGCTGGTGCGGGCCGAGGCTCTGGCCGTGGCGGCCGAGCAGGGAGGACGTCATGAGGAGCGCGTCGGCGGAGGCCATGCCCAGCAGCTTGGCGCTGTGCTCCAGGGCCTTGGCGCGCAGGCAGGCGATGCTGTTGTTCCGGAACTCGTCCGGGTCCCCCCTGTTCATGTTGATGGCGGGCTGCATGCCGTGGCCCTGCGGCCCGGGGCCCTGCGGCCCGGGGCCCGGGGGGGGCGGCGCGGAGCCCGGCCGTTGGCGGGGCCGTTGACGGGGGACCGCGGGCCGGCGGGGGCGGTGGGGGTGGGCGTCTCCGAGTCGCTGCTGACGCTCACGCTGCTGCTGGTGCTGCTGGGGGGCGGCGGCGGCTTGAGCGCCTGCTGCTGCGCGGGCGCGGCGGCCGGCGGCTGCCCGTCGGACGCGTCCGAGTCCCGCGGCGACGCGAGCGACGGCTGCGGCGGCGTGGGCGTGTGCGCGGCCAGCGGCGCGCCGGCCGCGTCCGAGTCCTTGCAGCCCTCGGCGCGCTGCTCCTTGTCGTGGTCCTCCTCCTCGCCCTCCTTGTCGCTGCCGTCGTCCTTCAAGTGCTCCGCGGCCTCGATCGACTTGCGGTGCATGCCTGCTGACAAAGGCAACCCCAATAAGCTCCAAATCGCGTGCACTCGCCAGCCAGCCGGGCGGTGCACAGTGGGCCAGAAGACCGGTGGTGGCGGTCGAAACCCCAGACGCGTTTTGAGCTCCAGAGTCGCTAAATGGGCCTCGAACCGAACGTGTGACCCCACCAATGGATTGCTCTCGGAACGAGGAATCCATTGGTGGGGTCACACGCTCGGTTCCAGTCCTGTTAAGCGACTCTGCCGCTCAAAACGCGTCTAGAGTTTAGGCCGCCGGCGCCGGTCTTCTGGCATTTCCACTGTGTGGCGCACTCCCGTAAAGTCTACTCAGTTCTCTGCGACTGAGCTCTAGGTACTGACCGAGTAGCCAGGGCGCCACGCACTCGTTCTCCTTGGCGGACTTGAGGATGGTCTCGGGCAGCGGCAGTGAGTGCCGCACCATGGCGCCGTACAGCCCGTACTCCGCCATGATGGTGGACCGGCCCCAGCACTTCTCCGTCTTCCGCCACTTGGCTCGCCGGTTCTGGAACCACACCTGCAACACAGAGAGACAGACGGCGTCACACACTGTCACACACTGCGGCTGTCCGTTGATGACAATGCATAGCGGCTCATTGTCCTTGCAGGAATGTCATCAAACCAGTTGCATGACGTGACACTCAAATTTGCGTACTCGGCGGTATACCGTCAAGGCACAGCATAGTAGTGGGCAGGGACCGGGAGGCCGGCGCTGGCGGACAAAACTCTACTCTACTTGGTCAATTTGCATAGTGTGGTCGACCGTGCGAGTCGAACGGCGTGGGCGTAGGCCAAAACGCGCCCCACCGCACTCTAAGGCCGCAGCGCACGCCCGACGCGACCCACATCGCTGTACTGGCCGAGTCATTTGTATCCATCCCATTGGCTAATCCATATTACGTTCGGCGAGGACAGACGGGGGGCGATTCCGAGCACGACCGCAGGGCCACACGGCCAACACATACACGCGCACACGCACACACACACACATAGACACACACACACACACACACACACATAGACACACACACACACACACACATACACACACACACACACATACACACACACACACACACACACACACACACACGCTCAAACATACATACACGCACAGCCCCCCTCTCCCTCCCCCTACTCTCTCTCTCTCTCTCTCTCTCTCTCTCTCTCGGAGGCATGCACGTTGGCACGCAAACGGGGTAATAGGGCGCTTCATTTACTGAGACGGGCAATCGCCGCATGCCGCACACATTGGAGCGCATTCCGCAGCGCGGCGCGTCGCTCTGTCTCTCTCGCACCCGTACGGGACGCCCCGTGAGTGCGAGAGAGATAGAGCGACGGAAAAGGACGGACTGTCTGAATCGGTCTGCGCTGGTGCGGGGAACGTGCAGCGAAATTAATTGACTTTGGTAGTCGGCGTGGCGAAGGGCAGCGCTTCCCTGCCGCGCGGAGATCATCAGCGGCTCGGCGGGGGCGGCAGATGACGTCATTTGATTAGCTCAGCACCTGCAGGTGGATTGATTGGCGAGTGTAGGTTCGCGAATATCGATCGGTACTACGCGTGAGCGGTAAACAGTAGGACAGAGGACCGTGCTGGACGCTAATGACGACAACTTCTTCCCAAACTGATGACATTCTTGCACGGTGAAAACGGAACCTGGTTTTCCCAGGAAGCCCATGGTGAAGACATAACCAATTTCCAGGGTGTCCCTGCAGTGTTTACCGTGTGCAAGGAAAATTCGCCTAGAAATTGTCGTCAATGACGAACAAAATGTTTGCAATGTAGGCGCTGCGCCGAAAAGCGCGCGAGGGCGTCCGACATGGAATGCCCACTATCACGTGTGCTCGACACGGCCAGGCCAAGCTAGGCACGGCCCCTCGCGCGGCGCAGCGCGGCGCCATTCCATATTCGTCGCGCCTCCTCGCGAGGGGAGCGGAGCAAGCGGAGCCCTGTAGACTGGTGCCGAGAGTCGCCTCCGTCGCGCCGTCTCTCTCGCACCTACACGGGACGCCCCATGAGAGCGAGAGAGACGCAGAACGAGTAAAACGAATTTCGGAGCCAGTCTGCTGCTCGCTTCGCCCGCCTCTCCCGGCAAGCGATTCCGACGCTTCGTCCCTCTATCTCCCTCGCACCCCCACGGGACGCCCCATGAGAGCGACGGAGACGGAGCGACGAAAAGAGTTGCGTTGATGGGTTGCACACGTGCATGTGGAAGGGTGGCGCCTCGCAATGACACACATGTAACTGCCGGTCCCGAGTTGAGTTTCCACGCCGCACAGTGGGCCAGAAGACCGGTGGAGGCGGACAAAACTCTAGACGCGTTTTGAGCTGCAGTCGCCAAAAAGGCCTCTAATCGAACGTGTGACCCCACCAATGGATTGCTCTCCGAACGAGGAGTCCATTGGTGGGGTCACACGTTCGTTTCGAGGCCTGTTTAGCGACTCTGGAGCTCAAAACGCGTCTAGAGTTTTGTCCGCCTCCACCGGTCTTCTGGCCCACTGTGCGCCGGGGCCCGTCTCTCTCCACGGCCTCCCAGCAGACCGATTCCGAGAGTCGTTTTCGTCGCTCTGTCTCTCTCGCGCTCAGGCAGTGGCCCGTGTGGGTGCGAGAGAGACAGAGCGGTGAAACCGTCTCTCGGAATCCGGCTGCAGCGGGCGGAGCGGAGCGCCGTGCGAGCAGGTCGGCCCGTTACACTCACGTGTTCGGCGGGCCGGCCTACCCGGCCGACGGCAGGCGGCGCGGCCGGGAAAAAATTAAATAAACAGGAAACGCAACGCCACTGCAATGTAAGTTTTTTTGCAAGGCACAAAGTCTGTTTGTCCGTCCTTCTGTCTATCCGTCTGTCTGTCTGTATGTCTGTCTGTCTGCCAGTCTATGCCTGTCTGTGTGGTCTGTCTGTCTGTCTGTCTGTCTGTTGTCTATCTGTCTGTCTGTCTGTCTGTCTGTCTATCTGTCTGTCTGTCTGTCTGTCTGTCTGTCTGTCTGTCTGTCTGTCTGTCTGTATGTCTCTCTGTCTGTCTGTCTTTCTGTCTGTCTATCTGTCGGTCTGTCTGTCCGTCCAGGCACTCAATGCGTCTGCAGCCGCCCTGTTGATGAGTGCAAGGCTGCGAGGCGCGCGCACAATCATCCGACTCATATATTGCCGGCCAGCCGGGGAGCAGCCTCGCTCTGTCTCTCTCGCACTCATGGGGCGTCCCGTGTGGGTGCGAGAGAGACAGAGCGACGAAAACGACTCTCGGAATCAGTCTGGCGGGCGGCGTGCCACGACGCGGCCCTCCGAAAGACGCCGACGATCAGAGATATAATCGCGGCGGTAATCCCCGTCCCCGCACGCACGCCGGCCGCCAGACTGATTCCGAGAGTCGTTTTCGTCGCTCTGTCTCTCTCGCACCCACACGGGACGCCCCGTGAGTGCGAGAGAGACAGGGCGAGGCCGGCGCGCTAATCCCCCTAATCCCATTTCAATGGACCGGCGCACGGCCTCGCCGCCAAGTGGTCGCGGTGTCTCTGTCTCTCTCGCACCCCAGCGACTCCCGCGGGCCGCCCCGCGAGTGCGAGAGAGACAGAGCGACGAAGGCGCCGTTCGGCGTGCTGCCGTCCCCCGGGCAATAACCAGTCACCGCAGCGGAGGGAGAGAGAGGGAAAGCCCTTTGAACCCGTTTGGCCGAGGGGTGCCAACTAGCGGGAAAAAAAGGGAGTTGTTGACCACCGGCAGCAACACCCCGCGCGCGATGTTGTTCCTGGGAATGAGGCAAGGTGCTGACACAGCACAGTGGGCCAGAAGCGACCGGTGAAGGCGGTCAAAATCCCGGACGCGTTTTGAGCTCCAGAGTCGCTTAATGGGACTCGAACCGAACGTGTGACCGCACCAACGGATTGCTCTCGGAACGAGGAATCCATTGGTGGGGTCACACGCTCGGTTCAGCTGAAAACGCGTCTAGAGTTTTTGTCGCCGCCATACCGGTCCTCTGGCCCACTGTGAGACGGACTGTGAGGGTTTCTCTCAATCGTGGGGTAGCGACGGGCAACCCTTTCCTCATGAATGAACAGTGCTCGCAATGAGTGACTGCGATTAGAACGGACCTGTCGCTACTCCGCGCCGCGCTCCACACGCGCGTGGGGTATCGACACAATCCGACTGCATTCCTTTCCCACTGATTAAAAGCATCGATTTTGGCGGCGCACCGCGATAAGACCGATGCAGCAAGGCGAGCCAGACACTGCACTGTAGGCAGGAACTACTAGTGTGGTGGCCGTCGTATAGTCGTAGGGTTGATCGAGTCGACGCTTCGAGGCTCACGCGGCCGGACAATGCAACCGCCCCCAAATTACATCCGGTCAATTCAGAGCAAAATGTTTCTGTGTGTGTGTGCGCGCCAGTGTGTGTGTGCCAGTGTGTGTGTGTGCCAGTGTGTGTGTGTGTGCCAGTGTGTGTGTGTGTGCCAGTGTGTGTGTGTGTGCCTGCCGGGTTAGTGTGTGTGTGTGTGTATGTGTGTATGTGTGTGTGTGTGGCCGGACAAAGGCCCTGCCGTCGGTGGGGTAACGCTGCCGGCCACTCGACCTGCCCGGCCATCATCAACGCCTTTTCGGCGCTGCGAGTGTTGGAGAGCCCAATGGACAGGTTGAGGTTGTAGTGCGGCGCGACGTGAGAGAGAGTATGAGAGAGAGAGTGTGTGTGTGAGATAGAGAGAGAGAGAGAGAGGAGAGAGAGAGAGAGAGAGAGAGAGAGAGGGTGAGAGAGAGAGTGTGAGAGAGAGTGTGTGAGAGAGAGAGTGTGTGAGAGAGATAGAGTGTGAGAGAGAGAGAGTGTGTGTGTATATGTGTGAGAGAGAGAGAGAGAGAGAGAGAGAGAGAGAGAGAGAGAGAGTGAGAGAGCGAGAGAGAGAGAGAAACAGAGACAGAGAGGGGGGGGGGAGGAAAGGGGAGTCCTATGCCGTCAAACGAAAGGTCCTCTGGGTTCAATAAAGTTGCCCCGGCCCCCAACGAGGTAATCGGTGAGTTCTTAGGTCAGTGACCGTTACTATACACTCCCGGAAAGTTCGCTTTAAATTCGCGTATTCGGGGCGGGCTGTTTGTATTGCAGCCGGCTGGGTGGCCATTACTCTAGTGTGTGCATCGAGCTTTGAATTGCATTTGTCGCAGGCGGGTATTCAACACAGTATTCAACAGTATTCACAGTATTCAACAGTATTCAATCACTCATTCGCACCTACCGCTCTATTCCAGAGACATGTTTTTGCTACTTTTGCTGTCACATGGTGGAATAAAATATCACGACGTGGACCAATATTTTCCAGTTTCGCAGCTCCGCCCCCTGCCAGTACACTGGCGAGGCCAGTAGTTGCTTAAAGGACTCCTTGGCCCCTCTCGCCCCCAGCCTGGCTGGCATAAATCCACTTTGGGGAATCCGCTCTCGGAAAAATTGGAGATTGATTCTGGGCGGCTGGGAATCGGACAAGGAGAGGGGCTGGCCGGCTGCAGCGCCCCTTGCCCCTTGCCAGGGCGGGCCTACCAGC